ATGTTGGTCGGTGTTCGCCTGGATCCTGCGCCAGATCTTGATATCGTCGGCAAACATTAGGAAGTTTGAAGTGATTCCCTGTGCAAGGTCATTAATAAACACCAGAAACAAACGTGGACCTAGAACCGAGCCTTGCGGCACACCACACTCGACTTGTATGGGGTCCGATAAAGAGCTCCGAACTCTGACCACTAATTGCCGTTGGAACAGAAAGTTAGCGATCCAGCTTAAAAGAGGGTCGCCGATCCCGTAATGCTGCAGCTTGGATAGTAGTATCCGATGGTCTAGACGATCGAAAGCTTTGGAAAAATCCAGGTAGATCATATCAACACCTTCTCCAGCGTCAGCTGCTTCGGTCCAACTACTGCGTGCAATTAGTAAATTAGCTGTACATGACCGCTGTCGACGGAAACCGTGCTGTTCAGGATTGATGATGTTGCAGTTTTCCAGATAGCACACCAGTGCATCGGCAACTATGGATTCCATGACCTTGGAGAGTATAAGAAGAAGGGTTACTGGGCGGTAGTTGGAGGGATCAGATCTGCTTCCACCTTTGTGAATCGGGCATATTATTCCAAGCTTTGACATGGCGGGAACTTGGTTCTGGTCTAAGCAGTGCTGAAAAAACTGAGCTAATGATCCTGCCAGTTGGTTTGCTGCTGCTTCCAATGCCTCTGGACGAATGGTGTCGACACCCGGCGAGCTGTGTTTGCGTAGAGAAGTCAGCTTTTGCAATAGAGCCTCTGCGGTAAAATTGATGTGGGTTAGTCCTGGTGAGCCGAATACAAAGCTTGGTAGATCGCTTAGTGGCAAGACCCTTTGAAAGGTGGGGGCGTATTGAATCTGCAGCGCGTTTGCAGCATGTATGCTAACAGGCATATTTTACAACGCATCAATCAAGTATTTCACTTAAGACGAATGATGAGTGAGTGATCGGGCTACTGACACAAACCAGCAGATGCAAGCAAAGAATAGGAAGGATTCAGTACATTGGTCTTGAGAATGCCACACTGGTAACGTGTCACGTGTGCCAAAGGTATTTGCACCTACCGTATACTTTATATAGGTATACTGATTGCACTATTTATGCATTTTCATTGTGCTCCATAAAACCAGCTCGGACTGCATAATGAGTTATTGCTGCATAAGGTGGGCCAACTAAGCAACAACTCATTCTGAAAATCCCTAGACCGCCGTTTCACACAATTGGGGACTGCCCGTATTACAGATTCTATCAGTCCTCTTAAAGACGTTGAACGAACTGTAAGAACACAAAGTAGAAGCATAATTATTTATTGTTTCGAAAATAGCCTATAAAAGGGGCTGCCTAACTCAGCTGTTGGAGCACTGTCATGTATATTTATGGCCCTACTGCTTTTTGTTCCTTGACAACAAAGGTGCGTTCCATTCGGTTGATCGCTGTGCATGTTGGCACTGTCTCCTCAGGAAAGGTATGTCCAAGAAATATGTAAATATTATCCGTGCACTATAAACGTGTAGCTAGGGCAGAGTAAGGGCTTGGAGTAAGCATTCGCCGCCCTTCAATAAATCCAGCGGTTTGATGCAAGAATGCCTGCTGTCAAGCTCCCTCTTCAACTTCGCTGTTGAAGACGTCATGGAGTACGCGTTCACATGACACGACTTATAAGCTGTGAAGCTGCTCACGTGAAAACGACCTTTTGGCTTGGCTTATTCTGTGGATATTTCCTGATCTATGACAACGACCAGGCGTGCACAAAGGCAATGGACTGAGTAGCATTGGCAGTCAGTCGATTTGAACTTCGCTTTGCACCATCGAGTTGCAAAGCTTTCCTAAAGGTTTGCAGTGCTTGCTTCCTGCGCTAACCCCTGGTCATGATCGGATAGACGTAGTTCAAAATTCAACTACCTAGCTAGTTGTATCAGCGTCCTTGCCGTTCAAGATGAGATCAGGAACCTTATAGCAAAAGCTTGAAGCGCATTTGCAAACCTTCGTCAGCTGTGGCTCTGGCGTGTCATCACTTTCACCCAGAGGGGTAGAATGTACGATGAGGCGGTACGTTTGACCCTACTTCACGGTTTTGAAACCTGGCCAATTAGAGCAGGCTACATATAGAGGCTACTTAGGTTTGTCCACCGGTGCCCTCACAGTTCGACTCACATCTTGTGGAAGCATGGCGTGGACAACGAACGTGTTCAACATCTTGCTAAGGGCATAGACAAAGTGAACCGTTCAGCACCGTAATTTCACTCACCAGGCTCCGATGGCTGGGCCACAGGTTGTGCATGCCATCCTACCTACATCCGCAAAGTGCGTTATATGTTCGACAACAGTGCGGCTGGAAGAAGAGGAAAGGTGACCAAGCGATGATTTGGTCAAGAGTAATGAAGACCAGCACTTCGAAGTTGGCCTTAGTAGGAGAGTCTCGGCAACCTGGTAGTTGTCCGAAACTCGATGAACACGTTTGGTTGGATACACTTGTTGACACGGCTAGGAGGCGACCTCAGTAGCGTTGTGCTGTGAGTTCCGTTTTCCACACCAATCACTCTTAGCCACTGCCATAAACTATGACCTCACTTAGTAGCATAAAATCATTTTATGTAATAATATTTCATTGCATAGCAGCCGGCTAACAACTTTTCGGAACGACGGTCATCCGTTACTCTAAACTCAGCCGGCAAGCATCTGTTTTATTTTGTTCTTTACTTTTTGTTTTGATGTATTGCGGCGTTGAATCTGAAGTGTTTTCCACCTCTAGCTAACGTGCATAATGAAAAGGATGGTACTGAAGCGCGGAACACTCACTCATCTTCGCACTCTTTCCTGGAGGCTGCAGGGCGCAGGCTTCTTTCTGTGTCTGAGGGTTGTGTGGCGCGCACTGCTTATGCGTCAATTTCCCTTACTCATAAATTGCGGTTCCATAGTGTTCCAGAATTTTTAGGGGAGTCATTACGGCCTGCTATTGGTTATTTGCCATTTCACATGCTAGCAATTCCATACCATTGATAACTGGAACAGTATTGTCTGCTTTTCGACCACAATAATATGACCGCTATCAGCTTGTACCACCTAACCAACAGCTCATGTCACTAAGGTATAGATGGCGGTAATAATAGATATTCGCTAGTACAAATCAGTTTGCTCAGTCAGTGTTTAATTTATGAAACCACACAGAGAATGTTGTCGTACAGCGGAAAGTCCCTTGGTTTATTATACTCATATAGAATTTGAATGAAAACCAAAGTATTCTTTGGTTAAAAACAAAACGCAGCTGATCCCATTATGTTAAATTTCGCCTTGTGATTAATGTGGACTTTAGGCAAATCTTGATATTTTTGAATGAATTCGATGAGCCAGATTCAGAATATAGCCAACAAATTTAACCTTCTTTTTCAAAACTACTTCCTGGAATCGTTGTCAGTTCAAAATAACCGAGAATTCACCGGAGAATGAGTTATCAGGGACGCATTTATTCTCTGCAACTTGCAATTGCACATGACAAGTAGAGAATGGTAGCGATGTGGATAAGAGCCAATAACGTGATCACGCTTGCTGGATCTCGTTTATCGTGGCCCAGGTATTTCTAACCACGGATATGCTAGAATAGTATCGTGGGTCCCATTTACTCTTTGAACGGTTGATATGCATACAAGGAACGACTGCGGAAAGAATAGAATCGCTGTCCGATCCTTTTCATAGATGGGTAGCATCAGTCGTACTCAGAGTGGCTGTCAGCAATTTGTCCCAAAATATCGTGTAAATCAATGTTGTTTAATTAAAATTAACAAAAACCGCTCTTACATCAAGTGGTCAAATAACACCTCGTAAATCTATGCGAGAGTTGAGCAAACTGCTCTATCTACAACGTACAGCTTTTGTGCCACTTATCATCCAAACGCACTCTGCTCCTCTTTGAAAGCTAGCTTGCACATTTAATTTGTTCAATAGTAATTAACGACGAAAATATATTAAATCCTCCGTGTTTCGTATAAAATGTCTTCGCCTAGCTCTTTCTTCTTCCCTATTGCGTGCGTTTCCTAGAATCACTGGCTTCGTAAACTATTATTTCCAACCAATTAGTGCAAACGCACGATGCCACTGTAAAATGGTCGCTGCAAATTATTGCACGAACAACAATGTGATTGGCCTACTTTAACTCTATACATTCGAGCATGTGCGTTTGAGTAGAACGCATACAAATGTGCTGCTACGCTACATGTATTAGGCTACTGAATCAACAACAACAACAATTATTAAAACGGAATATCCGTACAGAGAGGGATCACAATGTCAAACAGCAAATTAACGAGCAGCGACCGGGGGTACTCTGTTCACGGTCAGTACACGATTTACGATCCTTATTTGGAAATCCGCACACGCCACAGTCTCGTTGTTGGATGAGAGCGTCCATCTTATCCCCATCGGCATCTGCAAAACGAATGAAGCGGTAGTGTGCTTATGCATATAAAGAAAGGATGAACCATGTGTAATAACAGTTTACCAAATTTATGAATCAAGTTGGTTCAGAGCTTAGAAGCTGCTCCCCAGGTGTTGACCGAGTAGCGTACTTCATAAAGGTGAAAGCGCATGCAGGTACGAATACACACGTTGTCACGCAGCCATGTGGATTGGTGAAACAGTAGACATTCGAGTAGGCACAGCCTTAGCAGTTTGACAAGCACGAATTGCTTTAAGCCGTTACTCCTTATACCTGTTGAAACAATTGCACGGGTACACAAGGTTAACACTCTATAAACCGTGAGTTTAGCTAAGTGGAGAAGTCAGGAACGCGTTATCCAGGTAGACACTCCTGATTCATAAATTGGATGAGAAACATAATTAAAATTGTGGTCTGAATAAACTTTAACAAGTGCGACTGTTGCTCGCACCATGAAAATATCTGTGTTTAAACACGTACTTGCCCGCGCGCTGCTTTTACAGACAGCTAGATAAGTATTTCATTTCCTTGGCCAATTTTTGCCCAAAGTCTCATCAAATTGTTGCTAATATAACTGGAGAACTATATAATGCCGAGGCTTACCGGGATGAAGCTTGGTGAAATATAAACCGCATACGTGTAAGTGTAAACGGTTCCGTCCGCTTGGATAGGGCATCCAGGCTGAGTGTAGGCACACAGACTGTCATTGTAAAGTCCCAACGTAAACGAGTATCCATAAAACGTCGCGTTGATAGCCGCCTGACCACGTTGGATTATTTTGTCTGTGAAAGCGGAGATAGAGGATGATAAGCTATTAGAAGTCGTTCACATTAATCCATAAGCTACGCGAGTGAGAACAACTTACTTGCCGTAAACTGAATATTTAAGTCTACAGTGGTTTCCGTATACAGCAGGCACGGCTCAAAGTTGCACGGTTTTATGGACACATCAACCAACGAGCCAATCTGAGATCCTGCAACGGAGACGTTGGTTAGCGTGTAAACCACTAAGTAGAGTGCAAAAGGTTTAATGCAATACAGCAATGTCGCTGAGTTTGGCACAGTCCAAATGAAAGGAACTGCTTCCCAGTTGTCCAATATTAAACTCACCGCAACTTGTGAAATTCGTGCTCCAAACAACAGGTGCCAAATGAATCAGAGCAGCAAACAATATGGCCAACTTGCTCATCATGATCACGCGTGTTATACCAGAAGTCGACTTGATTCTGGCTGGTACTGCTCTACAATTTATATCAGAAAGTGGTCAGATTTTTGAATAAAATTACTGGGCGGGTTCTGAGTGCTCCATATATCGTGCCATTTTCAATTCGAAACACAACTGTCCTTGAGTGCCTACAAGGTCACTTTCCTCGTACGAGTCCAGAAAATTTGCATTCGTCAGCTGTCTGTCTGTTTTGCATCATTAGTTAAACGAAGCCGTTATTTTTAATTCTAGTTACGATTACTGTCCATTTATCGCAAATGTACTTTTTGCACGGACTGGATCCTAAAAGAAATCTTGCCATTAGTTCTTCCTTCGGAGTTACTGGATACATCTAATTTCGCCCTGGACTAGGGTACTCATAACTATTGGTTTTCTCAGCAAATTCGGATAGCCAAATCTACTTGATTTGCCTTAATAGCATTAAGACTAACAATAAAAAGTTAGTTAGTTAGTCAGTTGATTAGATTGTTAGTTGATTACATGTTTGGAACTGGATTATTTTTCTGTAAATCCGTCCAAATATCTACCTGGGGAATTATCAATTGACAATAAACGTCTACGCAGCAATCCATGTTTTTGGCGCAGATTGCCGCTAGAAGTATTGCGGAATGTGGAAAAACTCCACCTGTGTTGCACACTGTCGTATTTTGTCAGGTGCACCCCTATTTGTTTCAACTTTTAAATTTTATGTATTTGTATTTTTCGTTACTTCCATGTTGGTCACGAATGGGCCAATGTCCACAGGTGATACTTTGATGGTTCTAGGCTAACAATTTTACTCACGCAAGGCACAGTGTTACTGGGTCTTTAACATTAGAAAATTGAATAGTCATCATGTTCGAAATGAGCCGAATAAGAGGATGGACTGAATGACCTGATGGCCCATAACTTTATTCTATAGAAAGCCCTAAATTGTGCAAAAGAGATGCTGCCATACATACTATTAACCCACACCGGCACACGTCCAAATAAGGATTGTTGGTGCGAGTGGCAATGATCGAGGAAATACACTGCATGGAAGCAAGTTTCCATGCTGCTGTTCCACGTATGTCCGTCTTAATTTATTAACATATATAGCCCTTTCTCCATTAATTATTCTTCGCAATCTATCAATATTTTTGATACATGCAGCTCAAGTTTACCTTTAGTTGGTAAACTGTGCTGGAAATGGTTTCGTCATTGCATTTTGACATATCGCTTTGTCCGTTTCATCGTCTTGTTGATAATTACACCACTTACAATTAAGGTCGGTTTAACACAAATAAACATGATTTCCTGATATAAGGTGCTGTACGATCTGCCAGCGACAGGATATTAATTCATTTTGGAAACCATAGACACCGATTTTAAAATAATCATTTTAACCTTGAACTTAAAAATTGAATTTGTTATTGTGATTCGGTAACGGTTGTTGGCGAACATAGAATCCATAGGAATCCAGAACCGGCTTGTAAGTTGCCCCTCTCTGAGTGATCTACATACTTGAGCATTTCAAATTACCAACGAAGTCAACCAAGAAAGTGCGCTCGGTTCTCTGATATTTATCCCTTACTTTAAGTATATTGGCAATCCCATTAAATGCAAGCAGCACTATTATCCGTCAACGACATAACGTTTGTTTACAGGGCGATGAAAATGAATTTTAGCACACTGCCGCTAAGTTAACATGAATTTCTTTTATTTTTGAAAAGGTGTACAACGCGGTTATTTAAATTCTCGTCTGACAAATAAGTATCATATCCAACGACGGAAGGTCAGTTGAGCTTCGCATTAAAGATACGCGAATGTGCTGTTCTGCCCGTGATCTAGAAACCCGTTATTCTGACATGATCCGCTTTCCTGAACAGGCAGATTTTCAAAAATATCGTTCCAGAAGATCCGTTTGTTTCACAGTAGTCACAAAATAATTGCCGTCCCGGTCAGTCGCACGTTGTTTATAAGGCTCACATGTCACCTACTAAAATAGTGAAAAATCATCTATGGTAGCATGCTGATGATTGAAAGAAAAGCCAAGGCGGACATTTATAGGTCATTCACCAAACGTCTGTTTAGTAGTGCATCTACCCTAAGCTATGGCGAACGTTGCAAGAAAATTCACTAGGCTCGACTTGCCATGTGCTCACACAAATTCAATTCTGTTGTTTTACTTGGACAATTCCACAACAATTTGATGCACACTAAAAGGCTTGCAATCATTCAACTCAGGTGCATAATTATACATCTTTAAGAGTCTTCTTGCGGACAAATCTTTGTCCATCAACTTCTGGCTTTTGTCTGCCTTTGTGTCGGAATTTTGTTAAATTGTGTGACTACCACAATGTTTCATAAAATTCGTGAATTTTTGCAATAACTCGTAAGTTCTTATTTAAAGCGATCACGCTAACTAGCACTTATGCATCTCCGCCGCCGTTTGCAGTAGCTGCCTAGTATTTCGTTGTACGTTGCTGTTCGCCTAGCTCTCAGTTGGAATTGATCAGTAACCCAACACCAATTGTCATCCTTTGTGCACTTGTCAACCATTGCGCCGGCGTAACCCATTGCACCAATCAGGGCAGCCAAATCGCCAGCTAATGCATCCTCAGACGTCTTTTCTAGCTACGTCGTACTTGTGACCGCTGTGATCAACTGACTAAGGTCGGGCAAGTAAACGACATCCACCAGTGGAACAATGGAACAATGGTTTATTACGGGTAAAAAATGCATTGCTTAACAAGTCCCGTGGGATGGAAATTATTGCGAAAATTAATTGCATGATAATGTGAAAAGCGTTGTGGTGGACTCTTCATAGACTTATGTGGAATAGCGGAGATGTTCTCGTATGAGACGTATAAATCCATAAATCCATTGGTTAGGCGTTTGGCAAGACACCGTTTGATTGCGTTTTGTAGCCCCTGGCTAACAAGTCAAAATGAAATGTAAGTGAGAAAATGCATCGTCAACACGTTTTTAAATATCGCCAGATTGGGAGCAGAGACGACATAATTAGGGAGGGCGTTCCAAGGCTGGCACACGCGGAGAGAAAAGAAATTTCTACGGCATTCAAGCCGGCTATACTGAATTGTCAGTTTCAGAGGGTGACCTCTTAGTTTAGTGTAGTGGTTCAATTCCAGCAGCGGACGGCAAATGTGGTTTGGGTTCTTCAGAATCTGGTAAACCATTATGAGATCCCCCAATGAAAGCTGATATCTGTACATTCTTAGAGATTTCAGTCTAAGCTGATAGGGTAGATGAAAGAGGCCCCTGACGTTCTTGGTTGCCGTTCGTCGAGGAGTCTCGAGAGCAACGAGATCCTGTTTCTGCCACGCCTGAATAGCATATTCCACGTGAGGTCGCACGTAGGCGTTAAGCATTTGGGGCAAGATTGAGGGTTCAAACCAACCGAAGGCTCTGCGAAGAAGGCCGAAGTGTTGATTGCCGGTTCTCGTCGCCTTCTCTTCCTGTTTTGAACATCCGAGATCTTCCTGTACCAATACACTTAGATCACGCTACTGAGAGACCTTCGCCAAAGTGTGGTCTCCAAGTTTGTAATCGCTCACCGGCTGGTGACGCAGATGCATCACTTTGCACTTAGCTATGTTCAATTGAAGCTTGTTCCTCTTTGACCATTCGTAAATGCAATCAAGGTCATGTTGGAGCAGATTCTAATCTGGCTTGTTACTAATCGCCCGCCAAATCTTGACGTCATCGGCGAAAAGCAGGAAATTTGAGGAAATAACTGATGCCAGGTGGTTGATAAACACCAGGAATATGCGCCGTCCCAGCACTGAGCATTGTGGGACACCACATTCCACCTCAATTGGGTTAGAGAGTGATCCAATAACACGTACTTGAAGCTTCCGTTGGCGAAGGAAGCTGCCAATCCAACCAAGTACAGGATCTCCCATTCCGTAGCTCTGTAGCCGGTGAAGTAGAATGCGGTGATCCAGGCGCTCGAAAGCTTTGGAGAAGTCCAGATAGATGACGTCAACTCGGACCCCATCATCGGCCACTTCCGTCCAACTACCTTGTGAAATAAGTGGGTTGGTGGTGCATGGCCGGTGTTGACGGAAGCCATGCTGTTCCGGTATCAAGATGTTGCATTTGTCCAGGTAGTCCAATAAAGCCTCAGCGATGACTGCTTCCATCACCTTTGCGAGCACAGGGAGGAGAGTCACTGGACGATAGTTGGCAGGATCTGAACGGCTACCGTCTTTAAGAATAGTGGTGATAATGCCACATTTCCAAATAGTGGGGAATTTTTGTTCATCAAAGCACCTTTGGAAGAACTGTGACAGCGGTTCAGCTAGTTTGTTTGCCACAGGCTTCAGTGCCTTCGGGCGGATGTTGTCTGCTCCCGGAGAACTACGCTCACGCAATGAGAGTAACTTCCTTAGCACAATTGATGGGTTGAAAATTACATTTGTAAACAATGATGGCGGTAATGTGCATGACATTATGGGACAGGTAGAGGTTGCGAGTTCGAAAATTGGGGCGTATTGTAGCCGCAGGGCATTAGCTGCTTCTTCGGCACTTTGTACTCTACCGCCTGTCGTGAAAAAGGAGGGATTCCATACTTCACTTTACCAAGCTTATTAACATGCCGATATAGCAGTTTGTTGTTTGCCATGAATTTTTGGCTAGGCACTGTTGATAAGTTACTTTGTCCTCACGGACAAGTGCAGTGCAATGGTTGCGATGGGTCAGGAAATTTCCCCAAGTCTCTGAGTCGGGGTTAATCTTGTAAGCACGCCATGCTGCATCCCTTATCACCAAGCATTTTCGAGTCCTGCTGCTTGGAATTGAAGGCATTTTCGCGGGACGACGGGGTTTGGTCTCTGGTGCATTGTTGACGATGTCACTGAGTTTATTAACGAACTCTGCCCAAACGTTGTCAGGGAGACTTTTGTTTGAGAATTCCCAAGCAGCTGTGTCGGCGAGTTCTTTCAATACGTGGTAGCGTGTGATTGTATGAGTTAGTTCCGAGT